TAGTAACTAACGTCGACGTCCTCGTCGAGGACCGTAAGATAAGCACAAAATTCGTCGTTATGCCATTCGCAAAAGGAAACTATACATTACTCGGAATGGACTTTATCGAGAAAGCAGGGATGGTAATAGACTTTTCACAAAACATTTGGTATTTTGCAGATAACTATAAGCTATATGAGCTGAATTTCGAAAACGACGAAGAGGCATCCGATACCATACAGCTAAGCTACGCAAACGCACTGCGAGACGATGAGGCACACGCTCTTTCCACGAGTCAACGGAAAGAACTTAATGAAGTCCTAAAGGAAAACGAAGACATCTTTGCACAAGGAGGAGTGCCAACTCCTTACGCTGAACACGCCATAGACACCGGGGATGAAGCGCCCGTGGCTGTCCCCCCATACCAAATGTCACGCTCCAAAAAGGAAATATTAGAAAAAGAAATCAACGCCATGCTGGAGGCAGATGTTATTGAAGAGTGCGAATCTCCATGGGCCGCTCCTGTGGTACTAAGACCGAAAAGCGACGGTACGGTACGTGTCTGCATTGACTATCGACGTTTAAATGATATCACGAAGACAGACTCGTATCCGAAGCCTAGGATCGATGAATTACTACACCATGCGAAAAGGACCCTCTTCATGTCTACTATCGATTTACGATCGGGATACTGGCAAGTAAACGTCAAGCCAAGTGACCGAGACAAAACAGCCTTCACGACACCGTTTGGCACCTTCCGATTCAAACGAATGCCTTTTGGTCTCAAGAATTCCGGAGCTACATTCCAAAGAATGATGGATCAATTTAGAAGAGGACTAAAAGAGACCATGGTATTAGTGTATTTGGACGATATAATCGTCATTTCGTCCAGTTTCGAAGAACACGTGAAGGACTTACAACGAATTTTCGAACGTCTACGTGAATTCAAGCTACGAGCCAAAAGGGAGAAGTGCAATTTCGCTCGCTCAGAAGTCAAGTTCCTAGGGCACGTCATCACAGCCAACGGCATCCACACAAACGACGAAAAGGTCAAGGCCATTTTAGATCTCCCTGCGCCAAAGAATGTAAAACATCTACTCACATTCTTACAGAGAGCCTCATGGTT